CTTCATCTGTGTCATACCTGCCAGCCCAGTGTGGATGTCTTACATAATTATATAATGGACACTTATATGGAGGTGACTAATCTGAATGCTCATCTATTTAATTGAAATGTCTCAGTTTTTCAACTATATTTCTTCCCTAAGGCTGTCAAAGGCAGTGACTTTTGTTGGGGACATAAGAAATAGATCACTAAAGTTATCAGAATTTACCCATAGCTTCGACATCTAAGTGAAGAAGATTGAACATGAGCCTGGTTCACAGACCTAATTCTGAAGAGTACTAGATTTCCGTAAGATATGATTTGCTACTATTATTATTAATATTTTAAATTTTATGCATTTCTTAAGCAACATGTCATAATGGGAAATCTGGGGTGACACAAGTTGATTATACCTCAGCTTTGACTGGTTTTGCAACCCTTAGACAGCGATGGATTTGACAGGTCCATAGATCCCCAAGGTGAAGCTGTGGATAGCCAGTGATTTGAGGCTGCTTTGTCCCCTGTCACTACGTTTCTTACCTGTGCTAGTAATTTTCTGTATGGTTGAATTTTCAACAGCTGCAGTACTACACGTGTAAATCAAACTTTTGCTGATTTAATGATTTTGAGCAGTCGCTCTGTTCCTAAGTGTACCCAATCCCTATGTACTATGAAGCAGAACTATCATGAGGGAATTTGCAAGGTTATGCCAATTTGAGCAGACTTACCCTGGATTTAGAATAAGGCTGAAGAATAATTATTCTGCTGAATATTTTATAGATTCTCATGTAAGTTAGAACAGATATATTGTATGGATAATCTATTTTTAAACAGAAATATTTCTGAAGTTACTTTTACATATTGAGATTCTCTTCTGAGCTGGCAGTAAGCCTGTATTACCCAGTACATATGCATTTGCTTGGTACAGTAAGTGCAAAAAGTGTCCATGAACTTGATTTAAGTTACATAACTAGTTGCTGACTTTTAAGGCATATTCGAGTTAATGTTTTTTCAATATTGAGATTTTAAATATTACTTTGAGATCACTATCAATTTTTCTTCTCTTATGGTGAATGTACAAATTCAAGTTCAAATTTTACAAAAAGGAATATAAGAAATGTCTGCTTTCAAATAGCATTTCAATTTATGAGCCAGTAGATTGATTGCAAAGCTATTTCCCTAAATTCTAATTGCTTCTGCTGAGGATACAATGTGGTACTCTTGGGAGTCTTCTTGAAAGTAACAAAAATCTGATTCCCTATTTATTTTATGCTTCAGAGATACTGTTATTCTGCACCACACAATATTTTATATTGATATTTTGATAAATATTATACTGATTACACTGGATGCTAGATTTGTCAATTTAGTTAACTTTGAACCAAACTTCTACCAAGGCTGGAAACATGCTCTGTGAGCAGTTTAGGATCCTGATTTCTGAGTTTTACATACCTCACAGAATCTTCAAACATTAGTTGTACATATTGCATTTATTAACTCGACTATATGTCCTTTGGATTAGAAAAAAATCTGGAGATAATGAGACACATTCGCAAACCTGAACTTCTGCAAGAGATCTAGACACCCGCACTGGGATCATCATAAATTGTGCCTGACTAAGCACACAGTTTTTCAAATTTGGAGTAATCTGTGACTAGTTTGAAGTTCTCTGCTAAAAATGTTTACATTTCTAGAAAGTTTGTATTTCTTTATCCAATGTGTAGATCCTTAAACAACTGAAGGCATCAAAGAAGTTTTACTTTGGAAAAGAAAATCAAACCTTTCTTTTTATGTCGTGCACATTTACTTTGCATGTACTGGTTACCAGTATGCAGTATTAATATATTTGCTGCTTTCACCAGAAAAATTTATGTGGGAAAATGTGCCTAATGGTAGAAAGCCTCTCAAATATATGTGCAAGGGCACATAATAGCTTTGAACTGAAAGAGAGTAGGTTTAAATTATGTTTAAAAAAATTCTTTACTGTGAGGGTGGTGAGACACTGAAACAGGTTGCCTAGAGAAGTTTTGGATGCCCCATCCCTCAAAGTGTTCAAGGCCATGTTGGATGGGGCTTTAAGCAACAACACAGTCTAGTGAAACGCATCCATGGCTATGGCAGGGGGATTGGAACTAGGATGATCTTTAAGGTCCCTACCAACACAAGCCATTTATGATTCATTCCATGATTTCTTTATGACAATCGAAGAAAGAGAGCTTTCTGACAGTATTGCTTTCTCTAACTTCATATAAAAGTCTCTATGGACTCATCCATTTGAAAATAACTTTTCTAGCATTCATGTCCTTGACCTTCCTCCTATCACTAAACCAGCAGCAACAAAAAGGAAATTAATGAAATATCTAGTAATTCATAAATAAATAAAAAGGACTTTTTGCTGCAGAAAGAAATGTAAGGCTTTTCATGATCCCCAGAGGACCTTAATTTTAATTACCTCAGACGATCATAATTTTAATTACTTTTACTTACATTTCATTAATTCAAAAGATGTTCATATATAAGGATGGGAAACAATAAGAAAAAAATTATATCATTCCCATGTATAAATCAGGCTAATATGAAACATGGACTTTCTAGTAAAACTGGTTGATGTTCTTGAAAAAAAATTGTAACAATAGAGAAAAAGCTGACATTTTTAGGACATATTTGGGATATTAAACTATAAATTTTAAAAGCAGAATCTTCAGGAATTTATTCAGTGATTTCTCTGAAATTAATATTTGTTGCAGCTCTGATTCTGCTGTGATTTTCATGCTTTGAAAACAGAAAGACTATGTGAGAGAAAAGAAACCATGCCAGATCAACAATGAGATTGTCTTTTTTATGTAGACTGCAGCTTTTCCTATAAAGGTAATACTGTTTGGCACAGTTCAGTGTATCAGAAGCAATTTTATCTTAATGAATCACAGAAACTATGATTGTATACTACTTTAAATTAAATACATTCCCTTTGAAAACAAAGGTAAAACTATTATAATTTTTAATAAGAATAAACATGCTGCTAAGAAAAAAGATGAATAAAAGATTGTCCATAAATTCTCTCTAGAAGAAATTCCAGACCATATTGATGTAGTTGTATAAAAAGAATATGGAAGCCAAATTCGGCTCTTGTTGTGGCTAGATTTTACATAATCTAAATTAAGCAAATACTAATTTTATTCCCTCAGCATAAGAGAAGTGGAATAATCTGAAAAATTTCACATGAGAATCATGTTCCATTTTAGCAAAATAAAAGCAAACTGAAAAAGTGTAAAAGGAAATTGAGAATCAAAAATAAATTAGAGGATAAACTGAGGAAAAGAATTAATCCATCACAGAATGCAATAAATAATCCAATTTTGAAGACCAGTATATGGACAGAACATTCATATTTATATTGTGCATGAATATAATGTAATCAAAAGAAAGTTCTGGGAATAGAATTAAAATTCAATTTCTAAGTTCATTAGGTATCTGTGTAGGAGAACTGAATGATAATGTCTATACTTAATTAAAATTATAATTCTAGAAACTTCTTCATTTGGTCTTGGAAGCTTATGTTTATGTGAAGCACAATCTGTAGAGAGGTAATATCTTTTATTCAACAACTTGTTGTAGTTGGAGAAAAATGGACATGCTTGTCTGTGACAGACTAATTGCAATTCCAAAGCCAACTTGCTGTGGAAAATTAATATTTAAGTGTTTTTAGCTGATTTCAAATTAAGACAGAGACATATTTAAAAGACTTAAACCAGTATACTGAGGTTCCAGAACTGAAGTTCAATTTGTAACAGTAAACAAAGACCTCCATGCATGCTGATGCTGTTAGATGGAAAGATGCATCTTGAATTCAAATGTCCCAAGCTGGAAGCTGTATGTATTTTTATATCCCAAATGGTTACAAATGTTTTTACTAAGAAAACTGTTTTAGCTGCAACCAGAATTCTTTCTCAAATTTGATAGTGACACAAGATTGTGAGGTTTCTGCTTTTAGACAATGAAATATTTCCTAAAAGACCAGCAGAGCTTTAAAGAAGTAGTCCCATTCCCAGAAACTGTGCCTCCCTGAATAGCAGAGTTTCATATTCCATTAATGGCTTTCGGTTCTAACTGATTCAGCTGAGCAGACAGAAAGCATCAGTGTCAAATGTACTGCCACATCAAAAGCTCAGAGTATCATTACTGCCAGAAATTATCAACACTAAAGGGAAGCACAGATGACACTACTATAGGTACCATATGAACTTTATTAGATCAAATGGTCTAATTTTGCTTATTCCATTGCATTTATTCTGAATTCCCTACTTGCAGTTATTCTCAGTCATAAGTGGAAAGTAATAAATCAGCAAATCAGGCAAAATTGTATATGCATGACCATCAGAAAGAAATTAAATGTAGTATTTTTCTCCCTCTTGAAATGTTAGAAGAGGCTGTATAGATTGTTCATGGTTCATTTGTTACATGAAGCAGTGAAAGAACAATATCATTTTTCTAGCTTGTCATGGGCTTCCAACATGCAGTAGATGCATTAAACAATGAGATCAGAGCCACATGCTTAAATTGAATATAAGATTAATAAAGAATTAGGGAACTGTTCTTTTGACTCCCATATTTGCAACAAAGCTCCAGCACAGACACAGGATTGCTTTATCTAATATTTGATTAAACACGCAGGCTTCCCCTTCAGTAGATTCATTTATAAGATGCATTAACACTGGCAAGGAGGTACAATCTGAAGTTACAAAAAAAGTTTGCTTCTAGTTTTGTTTTTCTTCCTAGTAGAGTGACAGCTCAGCCCCATATGAATATCCAGACCTTTCTACCTCTTCCCTGCAGTAAGAATCAAACCGCTCATTTTAATGAGGCCATAACCCAACTGAAGACAAGACCTGAACAGAAAAAACTTATATTACTATCCACTTTTCTCTTTTAGAAAGCACAGTTTAAAATTGAATAAACGTACTTTAATATTTCTGAAGCTCTCTTGTAACCACAAAAACTGTTCTCATCCTCTTCTGCTCCTCGTGTAGAGCTTTCCCTTGATTATCCAGTTCTCCAGGACACATAAACGAGAACAGTACCTGAACTTACTACTCCACATTCACATATTTACGCCTAAAACAGTCTGGGGTATTTTTCTCTTGTTCACTGACTGTGAACTGTTTTGATGAATTTATAGGGCATAAATACTTAATCTTTCTCACTTCCAGCTCCTTCAAGTTTGTGATCAAGTGAGTATTCACTGTGTAAATCCTTGTTCTTGTGAAGTTATCGTTCTCGTTGTCTCATAGAAAAATAATCATTTCACAGTCAGTAAAATCCCAAGCAGTGCTGACAAAGTCATGGCTGTTTGATGACTACAACACAGGCACCAGCTCTTCCAATATTTAAGGAAGCCATCTGCAGAAAAACAGATACAAATTAACTGAACAGGAACAAGCAATGGAAAAGATTGCAAAGTGCTATGTCAGCATTGTTCTAAAATGGTCAAAACTAATGAGAGTATAAACTCCTAAAAATAAATACAACTCATATTATCATAGTAATGTAGTTTTAATATTGCTTACTTACACAACATCTTTCATTTGAAAATGTGAGAACAGAAAAAAAGAGGAATTAATTTAGAGCTGCCTTCAATTTTGTGAACTGTTGATATGCAACAGATTTCTACAATCTGTAGACTGCAACTGATTCTTCCACTTTTGCCCTTGAGGCAAGGTCAAGGCTACCAATGCAAAAATACCAATGCTGTATGGTTCCAGTATTCCTAAAGAGATTCAAGTGTCCTTTAGAATTAGTTTGTCAACTTTAGACACTATTCAAGACAGCACAAGTTTTAAGAACTTTAGGAGACTGGATCTTGCTGAAACTAACACAGGAGAGTCAGCTTATATTGCATGTAATAACAACACGCTGTAATTAGTGGCACTGTAAATATCATAGCATTTTTACATGTTTCCTAACCATCTCTCCAAGTGTATTTGTTCATGGTTTTTAATGTGGACCAGTGGTTTTGGGCTAAGAATCTTTCCAAACTGATTTCTTATTTCCTACAGAATGTCATAAAAATTTAATTCATAGTTGATTAAAAAAGATGGGCTTCTGCATTAACTTTAAACCACGCGTGTCTACATTAAATCTTGTCAACAGAAGCTCCCCTTTACAATCATAAAAATAAGTAAGCATTCTTGTGTATAATTCATCTGGCATATTTCAAATGTTTATTTTAGGATAAGCTCATGTTTTCACAGTAAGTACCTTTTCTACACTAACTTTAAAGGAAACTTAGGGTGACTAATTCAGACATAAATTCAGATGTAAACATCTACACTGGTGGAAAAATTAATTTGTCAGCAAGTCTTCAACAGAATTAATAACAAAAAGTGTTGTAATGATCTTTTGTTTCTTTTTAAGTCTATGCAATAAATTATAATCTTTCCAAGCACTGGTGTGCCATAAACAAATACATTCCACAACCTAATCACTAGATCCTAGTTTCTTGAATCTACTATTAATTCTTTTATGGTTCAAAATTAAGAACATGGATACAGTTCAACATTTCAAAATATCTATCAAACAGAAGAAAATGGAATCGAAGAATCAAATGAAAAGTTGGCTCTCTCCAAAAAAATAAACACATTTTCATATGAAGGATCTTCAGGACATGTTGGTTACCAATTAAAATTCCAGAGCAATTTTGATACTTTTTGTGACATTTCTTCTGCATGAAGAAAGACGAAAAAAATTAATTTGCTATAGAAGCTGATCAGAACAAGAATTTTGTCTGAAATGCAGCAATGTTTTATTTCTGATGACTGCTTGTTCTATCTTTTCCCATTTTCCTGTCTTCAGAGGAAACTCCTTATATAATGCTTCATAAAAACACTAGGGCCAGTTTTAGAACTGTGGCAACCTCATATAGTGTATTTTTTTCAAAAAAAATTGTTTTTATTTGCAAGTACCAAACTATGTTATAGACAAAAAATTATATATATATAAAATAAACTTTATGATTACCTGTGTCCATTCATTAGTCTGAGGGTCATATGCTTCCATAGTGTTCAAATATGTCTGACCATCATAGCCACCTACTGCATATAATTTGTCACCAAGGAGACAAACACCAACAGCATCTCGAGGCATACTCAGTGGAGCCACCATTGTCCATGTATCAGTTTTTGGATCATATCTGAGGAAAGAGAAAGGAAACTCGATGTGCAGGGAGGAGATAAGCATCAATTCTTGCTCATTTTCATTTGAATACAGTCCTATTTGCTGGGTGAAAAAAAAATTCTTTAGCATCCTAGCCAAAAATATTCTTCCAAACAAGTTCTTTCAATATATTTTTTTTATTAACTTTATTAACTAGAAGCTGATAATCCTACGGAAAGCATGAAATACATGTGCTTTGCAAAAAAAAAAATTAAAATATTCTAGGCTCCTACTATGAAGGATGACTATAAGAGCACCTGTGGCTATTTCAGTCAGTCATATTTTCAGTAAGCAGCTAGTAGGGATACTGTTTGAAGTCTCACATATTTGGACAACAAAAAGTTTAATTTTGTTTTTTAATATAGACACTGCAGTAAAAATGCTAGACTGTTTTGCTTGTAATAGCTTTCTGGTTCATAAATATGACCTTAAAATTGGACAATAAGGATTGTCTGTAACTTTTATTATATTGTTCTTGACAGCTAAATACATTTTGAGAAAAACATCCATTCAGCTACTAGCTGTTAATCCTCCTGTCTTTTGGAGGACTTCTCAGAAAATAAGATGTTAACATTTTTAGTGTCTAAAGTACCGTGAAATGTATTGTGTAG